GATTTCATTTGAGACAAAGGTGAGTAATATCACTGATGCAAGAATATTCAGTATGGATATGCAGATGTATGAGAAGAATTTTTGGCCTGTTGTATACACTGTTTTACAGAGAACATCTTTCTTTCTTTTACTTTGCCTCCATTTTGTTTTGTTTTGTTCCTTTTAAGAAACTTTCCTTTATGTATTCCTATCATTTTTGGGGGTTGTATAAAACATAGAAGATACCCAATTTAAGACACTTTTATGTCTTTAAGGCACACGTTAATTCTGGTTTTTTTAAATTCAATTTCTAGATATTAGTCAGTGTTGTAAATTTAAATATTTGAAACATTTTTTTAAAATTTCACTAAACTTATTGCAGTGGTTCTCAAACTTTTTAGACTCAAAGCACCACTTGTAAAATGTTAGCCCTTAGTTTTTATTTGATTTTTGACTTGAGAAGGATAATAGAGCAATTTCTTCTGTTACAGCGAACTCAGAAAGACCACAATAGGTTGATACGCTTTTAACACTATGGATTCCTATGTGAAATCTATGCCTTTGTCTTGTGAATCATGTGTGCGCACCTAACAGTGCTAACATTGCATGGCACCCTGCAACACCCCTGAAAGGATCTCAAGGCACCCCATGGAGTCTCAGCACTGTGTTTGAAAATCACTGACTTAGTTATTATACGACTTAGTTATAATCATTGCTCGATTAATTCGTGTGCACAATTTACGTGTTTGTGTCTTCAGCTGCAGGAGCTCAGTAGAAATATTTCAAAATTTAGAACTATTTTGGTCAATTCTGTTTCTTAAATCAAGGAAAACTAGATTATCCTCTCCTAGGTCTTAAATTTATAATCACTACAGTAGGCCCTCAAAGCTGCGGGTTTGGGGGTTTTTTTCCCTCAGGGTTAGGTTGTCAGACACAAGGTAGACTGGATAATAAGAACAAAAGAATCACCATACAGCGTCCTATCTCTGAAACTGGCAAGTAGTAAATACCTTTAGAGGAAGAGTATACAAACAGGATATGCCTAGAGAAGTCCAGCCTCCACCATACCTACCCTGCCATCGACCATCATGTGTTTAGGGATGCAAGATGATATGTTCCTTGCTGTTCTGTTCAATAGCTCCCAGTGGAACTGTCCTCCATTAAATTGTTTAATCCTTTTTTGCACCTAGCTATACTATCTGCCTCTATAACCCCCTGTGGCAGCAAGTTCCACAAGTTAACTATGCACTGTACAAAAGAGTGTACAGTGTTGTTTTATACCTGGTAACTTCAATGAGTACTCCCTACTTTTTTGTATTCTGGGACTTTGTGAATAATTTGTTCCTTATTCACTTCATGCATGCCCTTCATGATTTCATAGGCCCTATCATATCCCCACTTAGCTTTCCAAACTGAAGATCCTTTTGGTAGCCCCTGGTATGGCAGTTGCTCCATACCTTTGATCAAACTTTGTTGCCCTTTGCTCCACCTTTTCTAATTCCATGACATCCCTTTGCAAAGTAGAGACCAGAACTGCACAACATTCAAGGTGTGAGTGCACAACATAAAACTGGGGTTGTTGGTTGTGTTCTATGCCTGGAGAAGGGTGTACATGTCCAAAAGCTTGCAAGCAACAATTGTTACAACTATTTAGTTGGTCTAATAAAAGATATCACATTTACCCAAAGAAACTTGTCTAACATGAGCTTATGCTGTGGCATAATATTTTTTTCCATTTTTTCCCCCAGTGCCTTCTGAATGATACCCAACATTATATTAGTGGGATTGGAACATTGTTATAACTGTGATGGTCCAAGAAATGTGTGAGAAGCAAAGAGTTTTTTTGGTGATATCTTTTATTGGACCAACTATATAGCTGGCAGAGATGCTAGGCAAGTATTATTGTTCTTGCAACATTTGCTTCTTGAAACATTTATTTGGCTTTTTGGGTCATTGCTGCACACTGAGCTGATGTTTTTAGAGATGCGCTGGTTGCCCACTGCCCCTTTTTTGCCCATTTATTTAACCTGATGAACCTTTGACCAACTTCCAGTATTAAGTAATTTGCAGCATAAGCTTAAAAGAATACAAATACCCCTTTCTATGTCCAGTCAACTGAGCATGGCTACAGATGCAACTAAAGTGAAGCTACAAACTTCGGGGCTTATTGCTCCAGAGTTTATTGGTCCTGGACATGCCATTTGAATGTGTGCCCGGGACTGCAGCACATTGAGCTGGGTCAGAGCAGCTTCACCTGGCAGGGGGCCCCCAGGGTCAGCTTGCCAGCCCGAGGCTTCTCCCCTGGGTACAATGTGCAGTGGAAGGGCTGACTGGAGCATGAGGTTGGTTCAATAGAGGGCTAGCTGCAGGCAGCCTCTGCACTGAAGCATCATGTGCCCCAGCCAACCAGGTTAGCATCTACATGTGCACTACTGTGGAGTAAAAAACTCAAGCAGTCAGACAGTACTTCTACAAGCACTACCCTGCTGCAGAGCTAATTAGTTTATTCCAGCCTAATAGAGACACATATGTAGATGTGTGCCATTTACTGAGGAGCTAATTCATCTACTCCACAGTAAATGTCTAATGTAGACCAGCTTTGTATACTGATGAAGAGTGCTTGGGAAAAGAAAGGTATTATTTTTACTAATATTCCTTCAAATGCTCCTTCCCAGGCTTCACCTCCCAAAAGCCCTATTCCAAAGAGAGTTTTGAACTGAAAATGTGAAGTACCAGGGACTCCCATGAAGTCTGCCAGGGGCTTCCATATTGCTATTGTTTTTACATAGAAGGCAGGTAGACTACATTGCTAGGCAACAGTATAAAATCCTAAAATAAACAAAATGCTAGGAAATCAGGATTATTTTTCCAGTGCAGAATTTTTGGTGCAGAATGACCCATTTTTATTAAATAAATTTCTGTTTAGAAACAGCATTAAGATTCAGAAATAAAAGTCAATCAAACCCTAAATTCAAAAAGTGTGCATAAACAGCCTTATAGGAGCTGCCACCCAGGAAAGGAGGAGGGAAGAAGGACTTTGGTCTTCCTCCCCCAAATTCCTCATGCTGTGTGAACTTTATTAGAAATGGAGCATTATAAATCAGAAGTAGGATCTACGGCTCCTATTCAAAGGACAGCACAGAGAGAGAGAGAACCAGCTTAGCTGAATCACAGTTTATTTTTGCTATGAAATGGTAAAATGGTTATTTTCCTCCTCAGCCATTCTGCTCCCAGGATGAATTTAGAGACACATCTGCTTATTTTAATGATAGCAGTAAGTTTTAACTACTTTTAATTACTGTCGGCTCTGTAGAGCTAATAGCGCTAGAAGAATGAACTGGATTCTTTCCCGGTGTGTACAACATCAAACAAACTATTAAGTGAATTTCACTTGTATGGCCCACTGTGCAATCTCATGCAGTTCAAATTGTATTTTCAGTTATGCAAGTCCAAAGACAGTAATAGAATTAAAAAAAACGATTGAGGGCAAAAATTACTTTTCAGGAACCATAAATAAACTCATTCCTTTAGATCTTGGGGTGAGTTTGCAAAGAAATGAGAAAATAAATCTTTTGCTCATAATCTGAACAAGCTTGGTATGGAAAATTTTGAGAGTCAAAGGATGCGTCTACATGAGATGCTGACTGCGCAGTAGCCCAAGACTACTGTGCAGTATCGCTGTGTAGCAGAAACTGTGACACGACGTGACACTACTGTGCAGTAATCTCAGGCTATTGCACAGTCAGTGTCACAAAAACCCCGTTCGTTGGCACTACTGCACAGTAACTTGGGTTACTGCAGTCATTTAGTACCTGTTTATACAAGTTTAGTACTAATACAGGTACTAAATGAGTAACAAGTGTGCAGTCAGCGTCTCATGTAGATGAGGCCAAAGAGTATCAAAAGTTCTTGATTCCTTTTTTTTTTCATTTCATGTTTGAAAGCTTTTATAACTATTCTTGAGTTTGGAAGTTAGGAAATTGTTTTTTTCTATAATCTTTTGTTTTCATATGTTCATAACTTCCTAAATGTTTCTATTCTTAAGTAAAACAAAACAAAGCAAAATACAAATGTATGAGCATGTCTACAAGTAAATAGCTGAAATTATGAATCTTGAAACTTGTTATAGACATTTAAGTCCCATCTGGATTCACAAATTAGGTATTTATCCAATTTAAGTCCCATCTGGATTCACAAATTAGGTTTTTTTCCCCCTTGCTACTGCAGTATCCAATGCAGTGGGCATTCTCACAGTGCATGGGTAAGATCACACCTTACCCAAAACATGGGCAGAAGGAGGAGGTAATGGATTCAGAAAAAAATATTTCAGATGAAGTAAAATAGTGTATTCAATATAAAATTGTGTGTCACAGTTTGGGATTGACTTCCTTTACTTTTTAGGTTTTTTAATTAAGTTTAGAAAAGCATGTAATTTTTTTGTTTCTCAAAACATCATTTTGAAATGAAAAAGAGCACTTTATAATTAACAATGTAAATATTAAATGTTCTTGCTTTTCCAATTTTTCCAAGTATTATTTAATTTTGTTTGTGTTTTGTGGGATTTTTGAGCTGAAATTATTCACCCAATTTGAATCAAATTATGAATGGTTCCAGGCAATCAGGAAATGCAATTTTAACGAATAAAATATTTGACAAAAATAACTTGTTGAATTCTGGATCCAAAAAAAGGTTGGAGTCTCATAAGAACTGTAGTTCTCATACTGAAATCAAACGGGATTTGCAGTTTTGATTTATCCCCATCTCTAATACGGAACATGCATTATAGTGTCCAGATGCACAACCATTTAAACACAGATGCAATAGGCAGCTACATGCACAGCTATTTCAGCATTTCAAAAGATTTATTAGCACTTAAAAACAAAGATATTTAAAAGAAGTACTTATTACATATATAATTATATTTAGTCTGAATGCCTCGTTACAAAAGGCCAAATGTTTCTTCAATAAATTCTAAGAACAGCAAAACTTTTCCCGCATTAGTATTTAAAACTATTGTGGGTATTAATTAACAATATTGGTCATATCTTAAAGAATGCTTTCATTAAGCTGTATAATTTGTAATCTTATTCTAGTCTGATGTGTATAGAAATTACATGTTCTGTTTGAGATTGCCAAACCGGTGGAGGACTTCTCCAGCTGCTTACCAAACAATATAGATATCAGCCAAGTGCTTATCTTTCTACAGAATGTCCTCCAAGATTAGTAGATCCTAAAAAAATGGAAAAATTAAAAATAGAAACACATAAATATTTCTAAATAAAATTGAAGTACTTTTGCATTCTTTTGTTTAAATAATTTTGGAAATGCATTCTGTTAAGAAAAATAAAAATAAGAGAGCTGAAAATAAAAAAAAAAAATCATAAATATAGAAAAACCAACATAAAGGGACTTGTGAATTTTAGCAAAGGTGTTTCTGTGTATGCAAGTGCAAACATGGTAAGTGATTTTACAAAATACTTGGCAATAATCATGTCTTTGGAAAACAGGAATGACCCCCATAATTAGAATTAGCATCTACTTATATAAAAGAAATTAGGACCTGATTCTATCCTAGTGTAAATCCAAAATTAGTGCATGACTCCACATTCTGGTTACAGTGAATTTATAAGAGCGTGATTGAAATCAGATCTCTGTCACTGTAGCTGAAGATTAAGATAGCTACTCATTATTATTAACCCTAGTTTTCTACCACATCCTCACAATTTTTTCAAAATGTGTTGTGCTTCTGTACTAGTCAGAGTCAGCCTTAGGGAAAATGGCACCCTTGGGGAACTTGTATTTTGGCATCTCCCCCACCACCACCACAGTGAAGAGGTCTCTGTGCCCCACTGTGGGATACCTGCCCCTGCCCCTTGATAAAGGTACTAGACTCATGCGAGGACCTAGAGCTGAAGGTAGCAGCAAGATGTATTTCTCCACCAGCTGTGCCTGTTGCACTCCCTGGCAGAGGAGATCACCTGGAACCACCTGGGCAGCTCAGCAGCACCCACAGGCCAGACACCTGCAGAGCACTGGCCCACACCACAATACCGTGGTGGCTCCTTGGTGGTCTGAGTCCGACTCTGCATCCCTGTAGGCTTGGGCATGCCCCTGCAGCTGGGCTGCACCCAAAGGAACAGGCAGGCAGTGCTCAGCTTGGGCTAAGCCTCGTACCATGCTGCCCCACTGCCTATGTCCCCTGGCCCCACCTGGATGCTACCTCCAGCTCCAGGCTCCCCCCAGACCAGCAGCAACCCTGTGGCTGTAGGCCTATGTGGGCAGTAGGAAAGAGCTGGTGCCTGGTGCACAGCAATGAGCACTGCAGGAAGCCACAGTCCCCTTCCTCCCCGCAGGGGCCAGCAGTAAAAGAGAAAGCACAAGGGGTACTGCCCAGGAAAGCAGCACAGGGTTCAGAGAAGGGCTGTGGAATGATTCATGCTGGGAGAGCCCTCAGTGCTCCCGGCTCCATCCCCACTTCTCCACAGCTCCAGGTGGCAGTTACCTTAAGTGCCACCATTGAGCAGGGAAGAGCAGGGAGGGAAGGGGCTGGTAGCATATTGGTGGGGGCCACTGCAATTGGAGACCTCCCTCCCATATCTTCAGGTCAAAAGCAACTCGACTGCAGGCTCATGTCCCACAATCCCTGCACAGTTGCAGGTGTCACCAGAAATTGCACCCAGGGATCCCCAGACTATGTGTGTAAGGGTGCACATGTGTATGTCTGTGTGTGGTGCCCTCCTGACCATAATACCCTGGGCAGTCACCCAAGTTGCCTACCCCTGAGGGCGGTTTTGATACCAGTTTATATATCAGATCATGGGTGAAGGAAAACATTGGGTGTTTTCCTTCACCCATGGGCAAGCTGGGTGACAGCGACCACAAGCTGATCACCTTCACCATCCGCCGAAAAGCTGGCAAGTCGGTCAGCAACATGCAAGTCCTTGACTTCAGGAAAGCCAACTTTGACAAGCTCAGGAGGCTTGTCAGTGAGGCCCTAAGGGACCGTGACCACGGGGAGAGGGGAGTTCAAGAGGAGTGGTTGCTCCTCAAGGGAGCGATCCTCAATGTACAAACTAAGTCTATTCCATCTCGGAGGAAAGGCAGCAAGAGGGCACAGCAGCCCCCTTGGCTCTCCAGGGACCTAGCAGATCTCCTGAGGCTAAAAAGAAAGGCCTACAAAGGGTGGAGGATGGGAGTCACCTCCAAGGAGGATTATTCTGCACTGGTCCAGTCCTGTAGGGAGCAGACCAGGAAAGCCAAGGCTGCAACTGAACTCCAGCTAGCTTTGAGCATCAAGGACAATAAGAAGTCCTTTTTCAGATATGTGGGGAGCCGGAGGAAAAGCAGAGGCAACATTGGACCCCTGCTGAGCCAGATGGGGCAACTGACAACTGACGCCCACGAAAAAGCCAACCTATTAAATAGGTACTTTGCGTCAGTCTTGCATCAGTCCCATGGGATGCCCATGCCCGCTACAGGGCCGGGAAGTCCGGGTGAGGGTGATCCCCTGCCCTCCTTTAATGCTGACTTTCTGAAGGAACATCTTGAGAAACTGGATACCTTCAAGTCAGCTG